AAAATGAGTGATCACGTACGCTACCTGAGTTTTTTTATTATTTTGAAACAGTCATATAAAAATCATGTGCGTTGGCTGCTGAGAATTCAAAGCTTCATTAGATAAAGGCTGCTCGTACAGACTTATTAAATGACGGGTTTTACCTCAGCTGGTTTTTCTTCTCCACCTGCAAATTTTTCCCAAAACGATAATCGCTGAAACTGTAACGTAAAATCTGAAGCTTCATCGAATGTTTTGAATATTAGATCATTACGCAATGGTAAACCGTTTACATCCAATCCAAATCTGTAAAAAAACTAAAATGATTTCTGGCAACTCTGGTATAGGCAGTTACTTATTTCTTTAAAGAAAGCGGAAACGTGAATATTTAGCATTAGTGGTAATTGGGCAAATTCAGATTTCGTACTTAAAAAGTCGCTGAGCGAATTCGACGTCATCCATGTACAGATCATCGGCATCTTGCCCATCGCCGATCGCCAATTCAGGCTCATTGGAATACACAGATGAGAAATCCGATGCATCGTCCAGTTTATCGTTAATGCGGTAAACTGCGTTTGTTGGAAGAAGAAACGTGTCACCATTCGCAAGAACATATTCGTCTTTGTTAGCCATAGGACAAATTTCTCCTTGTTGCCCTTATAATTTTTGTATTTTCTATTTAAGTACTTTGTTTTGTCAAAATACTATGTGCTAAACACTCAATCAATTTCTGAATCCGTTTGAACAAATTTCCGTGCAGCTCAAACATCCGAATCCAATCTGACTAATATTGTGGAATATTCTGTGTACAGGAACCAGAAAAGCTAGGAAGCTGAAAATTTAGGGGAACGTTCCGCTCTCATGTGCAATCCCGCAGATTTCGGTTCTTTTAACTTTGGGTTTCAAGTATGCCCTACTTATTGCCACGTGAAAGTTCTGGTGAGAAAATCACTGATTTGGGAACCGGAGAAGCTAGAAATGTAAATTTTAGCAGCATATTTTATGTCCATGTGCGATCAAAAAATTTTAAATTCAGGCTCCAAGCATGCTTGTTTCTACGCATGGATAAATGAAAGTTTCGGGAAATCTTCTATGCCGAGCACTAACAAGATGGAGGGCTGAAAATATAGCTTTCAAGTGCCCTTTCATCCCACGCACGAACACGTGGAAGTTTTGCATGGAGAAGACAGAAGATTGAAAATACTGGAGGAGGAATTTCCTGTTCATGCACCATCTCACAAAGTTCAAATTCAAAAAACCTTATGAATGCACACGTTTCACGCACAAATAGGTGCGGTTTTTTGTGGGGAATTTCGTAACTCGAGAAGTTTTCATCATTTCGACTATTTTTGCGCGCACAAACTATAGAGCAGTAAAAATTCTTACAGCAAATTTCCGC